AATTCTGTAAACAGCCTATTTGGCAGCTGTTTTGTGCAATGACATAGCACACAGACATAGGTGTTCACCAATGCTCAGTCTTAGTGGGGTTCATGCTACCGACACCACAGTTAAATCCCAGCTGCACATTGCTTCAGATACTGCAAGACAGGAAACTACCCTTTATATGCCCCACTGATATCCCAAATGATATGGCACAGAAAGGCAAGTTTGCACCTCTGTTTACCCAGACTCCATGGACAGCAACCACACACAGCACTGAGCTAAAATGGCTGCTGTGATCTTTTGACAAGCTTAGGCAACTCACATGGAATATGTGAAACTGCCTCCATCCAAATCACCATTCTAAATATGGGGCTCTGAAGCTCAGTGAGGGGCCTAGAAATTTGCATCTCTTGTTTTACTCACACCTGCATGATATATTCACATTCTGGAGATGAAAGGCTCACCTGCCAGCTAATACAATGAGCAACCCCAGGAATATATACACGGACTTTTATTAACAGATGGTTCTGAGCAACTGGGCAGAGACAAGAAAAGGATAGGTTTATAGCAAAACGTGGAAGGTACCTTGTCTATCTGTCTTCCTCAATCTCAAAAGTCAGTGCCTGGTGAAAAAGCCACTTTGAAAAATGACGATTCACTGAGACCCCAAGATCTACAAGTGTTATTATTGCTGAAGAAATGGGGAAACAGCTAGAAACTGAGCACTCATAATATTCTCACAATGAAAGGACTCAAAGAGCATTTACTGAATTGTCTTTATCTTCCTGCCTGCATTTATTTGGAAGTTTTTTTTAAACCTGTGTTTGTGTGTGCTTTTGATATCACAGTTTTATTATTTTCTTTTGGGGCTAGCAATAATAAAATTCATCTTTCTTTCACTCATTTTGATCTTGTTAACTACATTTTAATTGAAATGTGACAGTTGTGTGCTAAAAATAATATATAAAATTTTGTGACTGACAAAGGGAGGATTAAGAAAAGAAGGGCTGGTTATAACTTCCTCACCTGGTTGTAACATTATGCCATGTTAATTGATGTATATGTCTGCATTTGGGCTTGGAAGATATTTGAAGAAAGATAGACTTCTGCCTAATGAAAGAAGTAGTTTTGAAGTGTAGAACTGACCTTGCATTCTCATCAGAGTGCTGTGTTAGAAGACAGTTTGGCTCAGAGTGAGGGCTATAAACTTCAGAATTCATTCATTTTGCTGCTTCCCCTGAATGTGACTGACAGTTAGATCTCCAGCATTGGTGAATGTACCTCAACGTTTCAAATACTCGTCAATGTAAATGCTCCATAAATGCAGGAATGAAAGATAGCACAAGTTCAGACAATCAATGTAGTTCGGTAATCTGCCACTGTTGAGTTTCCTTAGCAGATGAGTGAGAGAATGGCACAAGAATGCAGTATCCAAGCAACAGTGAGGAAATTTAACTGGCATCATGTTTACATCTGAGTGCTTGATAGTGCATGTAATTTTAATTCCCTTTCTGTTAAAAGAAACCAAATACAAACTGGGGATGCTGGTGATCAGGAAATTTAAAACATTGCCCTTCAGCCTAGGTTCAGATTTAATCTTGATTAATCACAGAATCCTTACAGTGTGGAAGCAGGCCATTCAGACCCCACACTGAGCAACTGAAGAGCATCCCATCCAGACTCACCCCATTATCCTATCCCTGTAACCCTGCATTTACCATGGCTAACCCACACTGCATGTGCCTGGACTCTATTGGGAAATTTAGCATGGCCAATCCACCTAACCTGCACATCGTTGGACTGTGGGAGGAAACCGGAGCACCCAGAGGAAACCCACACAGACAGTTGGCTGAGGCTGGAATCGAACCCAGGTCCCTAACACTGTGAGGTAGTAGTGCTAACCACTGAACCACAATATTGCCCAAAATTGAATAAAAATATTCTAGTCCAGAAATTCTCAGGCATTTTGAGGAAACCCAGAACCGGGCAACTTCTGCTCAACCTCAACTATTACATTTGACTCCTAGGATCAAGAGCATTTGCTTATTCCTACTGGCTGGCTACCTCGGTTAGCTGGGAGGAAAAGTTACAGTGGTCAGCTGCAAGGTATGGGAATCTGCATTATATTCTAAGATGGTCTCAGCTATTGTAAAATTTTATTGTTTTATTTTATATCATCTTGTCAAAATAAACCTGCAATTGATTGCTTTTGGAGAACCAAACTTCTAAATTCCCTATTAAAAAAGTATTTTTTGACATCAGCCGAGGGAATAAAATTGGCAAAAGGCATCTTATTGTTCCAGTATAACACAATAGAATTGGCAATGAGATCATTGCTCCAGAATGATTTGCACTGTTGAACTTTTTAAGACCCTTTCTTTAGTTCATGGTAAGATGAAGTTAAGTTTTCTTTTTGCAAAATTATTTCACGTTAGCAGAAAGGCTACTGTGAAGATTTGTAGCACAGGTACGTATGTTACAAACCACAGCTTTTACTCTCAGAGTTATATCATGCTCTGCTGCAAGTTAGATTGCTCCCCAACAATAACCAAAAGTGGTTCAGTTCTTTCAGCATACAGAAGTATTAATAGGTGAGTATTATTTTAGAACATTTCAGTATGAGGAGCAGTGTATCACCAGATTTGGATCCTTCTGATCTCCTTTTTCTTTTTTGTGGGTCCTGTTTAGCAGTCATGAGTGATTTTGTATTTAAGTCCATCATGAGTGCATTGTGATTTTGTGCACGAGCACGAAGATGAAATAATTGGATGCAGTGAATACACAGCGATGGAAGCTGTTGCTTTTTCCACAAAAGTATTGAGACAAGGGTGCAGGAAATGGCTTAAAAGCATATCTCACAATTTCTTTTGCATGCCAGTTGAATATTAAGTGCTCAATAAAAAAAGAGAAATAACTGTTTCAATACTGTAAAATCTACTTGGGTTTTCTGTTTCCTTTCAAGTACTGTGAACTGTAAAGTATTTTTGCATTGTTCTTGAAGAACTATTTGTGAATGCATGGTTCTGATAGAAGTAGTAATCTGGACCAATTTATTCTATTTCATTTTAAAGTAGACTAGGAAACAAGAATAATTATTTTCCATTCAGCAGTGTCGGTTTACAACTTTGGCTTTGGCGTTCATACATGAATTTGGCAACTCATAGTTTGGCTTATAGATGGAACATCATTATCTTGCTTTCACTATATAAGGGAGATATGTTACTCCTTGAGACGTGTCTCATGGCTGCTGGTCATCGAGTGAAAAGTGAGGCCTAAAGCAAAGGCGGAGATAACTTTAATAAAACTCTTCCCCTGTTTGGAACAGTTCAATGTTTAGGATGGATTATAGAAGCCTACCTTACTAGAAAGTTGACGTTTGAGATTTTTTTCTTGTTCAAACTTCTTACTCCCAAAAGCAATGGCCGATGCTTTTGGATCGCATAAATTACTTTTAAAAATTTGAATAATATTTATAATATTCATAAATATTGTCACATTTATAAAGTGATAAATTCATGGCCATACTTACGATTTATAGAAGGCTATACAAAAACTAATATGCATTAAGTCTGAATAGTGAGTATACTGATACAATGAAATGCCTGAAACAGAAATGTCTGCAGTATTATTAGAAAGCAAATAAGACTTACTAAAAAAATACTCCACCTGCAGGTGTATTGCTCTTTAGTGTCATCAAATCATCATCATCCATCACTTCAGTATTGATCTGAAGCAGTGTTAGGTACAAGTGCGAACATTGTCTATACAACCTGGGAGTTTTGTGGCAATGTGAATTCCAAGCTCTCAAAAGTCAAGTGGCGTGACACCAGAATGGACTTCAATTTAAAAAGTAATAATGTAGCAATACTGAGTTCTTAGACACTCAGGCCTCATGGGTGAGGTATGGGGTCAAATTTCTGAAATTGAAAGACCCCCCCACCATCAAATCGTACTGGATTGTACTAACTATATTAAGTAGCTTTTTTGTTTCCTTCTGTGAACAATATAAATGATAAATACTTCTAATAACTAAAGCATGCTGTATACATGTTCAATAAACTGCTGTAATAGTATTGTAGGTGATTCAGCTCAAGCTGGTCCTCGGCTATGGCCACCAATGTGTAAGCTCATGCTCTTGCCTACTCAGGTGTGTTAATTCCTACTGGGTATTGAGTGGGAACCAAATGCTGGTATTAAGATTGGCAGAAGCAACATCCTTCCTGAATTTTCCAGGTGGGCACTGCCTGCTGGTGGGCTCCAATACATCAACACACCCTTTCAACCCAACCCTAATTCCACCTCTATAACAATCGAAGTTGTAGTATGAAATATTTCAATATTATGAAAGAGAGGTCACTCTTATCCCTCTAGAGACTAGAAGAAAAGAAGCAAAAGGAAATTAAGAAGAGACTAGCTTGCACTTCTTTGACATTGGTATCAGCTCAGATATTTCAGTAGCAATGATCTACGACAATCGTTCAGCCAGGGAATAGTATATGCTCTATGGAAAACCAAAAGAATCCGGCAACTCAACAGGTTACATGTAATGAAACAAAAACAGAAATTGCTGGAAAAGCTCAGCAGGTCTGTCAGCATCCGTGGAGAGAAATCAGAGTTAGTGTTTTGTGTTCAGTGACCCTTCTTCAGAACTGATGGTAGCTAGGAAAAGGATAGTTATTATGTAGAAGATACGGTGGCAGGGAGGAGGGAAGAATTAAGTGATAGGTGGAGATAGAGCCCAAAGAGAGAGAAAAGCAGTTGGATAGACAAATGAATGGATAAAGACCAGCCTAGGAGAATTTCTGTCCACAAATGCTGCCAGACCAGCTGAAAATTTCCAGCAATTCCTGTTTTTGTTTCAGATTTCCAGCATTGGCAGTTCTTTTATTTTTTTTATTTAGGTTACAAATAATTCTCTCTAGGCTTGATACCCACTTTCAGTTGTTACATTATATTGTTCTATAGATTATAATGAGCTTCCTAAAAAAAACTACTTTTGTCTTTTATTTCTGCAGATGTGATTGAAAGTTGCTGTGCTGCTGGGCAACAATGGGCTGCAAACAATGGCCAGTGCTTTGATATTCCACTGAAAAGCTTGGACTCTGCTACCTGCAGGTAAGTGGGCTCTGAATTGTACTATGTTAAATAGCTGGTGATTTTTCCCTTCTGTGAACAAAACGAACGATAAATCCTTTCAATAACTAAAGCATGCTGTATACGTGTTCAATAACTTATCATGTAACTCCTTAAAGTATCCCCTGATAAGTATGTTTTAATTCAAAAATGGTGTGCTGTGTCAGCACACTATTCTTCAGGGGTTTGTGCTTGCACACAATGCAAATTAAGCAGAAATCCTTAGTCTTCCACTAGAAAAGTTCCAATTCAAAGTGAGGTACAGAATCTCAGTCTTGTTCCTAATGAGAATGGTCAAAGTGTAGACTTGACCACAATTCACTACAACTTAGTACAAGTTTGGCAATGTAGCTTGGAATTCCAGTAAGGAGAGTAGCTGGTAATAGACTATGATAGCTTTATAGTTATACTTCTAAACTAGCAACCCAAATGTTGAGCTCAAGTGGTAAAATTGACCAATAGATCAGGTAATTTGGAGTTAGAACTAAAGAAATATGCTTTGAAAAGTTGGGATTGTCTTGGTTCATTAATGTTCTTCAGGGAACAAGATCTGGATCTGAGTTGCATATGACTCTAGTCCCCGACTATTTATCTGCGCTTTAATGACCACTGAAGTGATCTACCTGATTGTAAACAATCGCTACGAAGGCAACCTCAGACCAGATTAACCCTGCAGAATCCTCTTTAACAATGCCTGGCTGTTGATTTTCAGATTAAAAGAACTTTACTCACAGAATGATAGTTTTCATCAATCATTTCAAGTTCGTCTGTTATCATTCCAACATTTGACCTGGCCTTTTGGTAGGATAGAGTCATTGGGTCATACTGCCCAGAAACAGACACTTTGGTTCAACTCATCCACGCTGACCAAACATCCCTGTCTGACATTGTACCGGTTGCTAGCATTTGACCCATAACCCTCTAAACCCTTCCTGTTCATATATCCATCCAGATGTCTTTTAAATGTTGTAATTGTACCTGCCTCCACTACTTCATCTGGCAGCGCGTTCCATTTGCGCACTACCCTCTGTGTGAAAAGGTTACCTCTCTGGTCCTTTTAAAAATTTTCTCCTCTCACCTTAATCTATGCCCTCCAGTTTTCGATGACCCTCTCTCCCCCTCCCCACACCTAGTGGTATGCATTAAATTGGGTATGCAACAGGACTCCTTCAAATTAACTTAATATAACATTTCCATGTTGAGCATCACTTAGAAGCCCTGTGAGCAGCCTAGGAATAGAACATGCTCTGGGTAAAGGATTTCAGGTGGTGGGATCACCAATATGAGAAGTAATCTATTGACTTTATCCTTATCAATGTACCTGCAACAGGCACGTAAACCCACAACATTGCTTGAAATGACCTGGGGTCAACCCTTACAAAGAGACTCTTATGAAGATAAACCCCTTTCTTTACACTGAAGACATCTCCATTATTGAAAATAACAGTATCACTGGGAGGGATGAAGGAAAGATCTCCAGCACAGAATTAGGCATTTGTTCAGCTGGACAAAAATAGTATATGTCCACACTTTAAAACACAGTGAATTGTGAATGATTTGCCAGGAAAAGCAAAGGGCATACCTTATAATGAAATAGCATAACTCCAAAAGCAGCAGGCTATAGATGGACAATCATTGAATCAAAGCAAAGTGTGTAGCTGCTCAATATTTAATCAAGAATATTGATGGATAACAGGGAACCAATAGGGTGAGAGGGCTCCCCAGTCTCAGTCGTGGAAAAGCTCAGCAGATGGATATAAGACATAACAATTGTTTTTCTAGAAATGTTTCCACACAATAAATCTCACAAGGTTGTAGTCTTCTGCACCTTCACAGGGTTATTGGGAAGGAGCCAACAGATAATGCCTTGAAACAGTTCCCTACATCCTGGGAACAGCATTTGTTTTAAACTGGAAGCTGAGCTAAAGTACATTTTTGGGACAGGATACAAAAGGTCATCTATATCCCAGGAACAGTACTTTTTTAGGCAGGTAGCAAAGTTCAAGTTTATCAATAGTACAGAGTACAAAAAAAAAGCAGTGTGTGGCTGCCTATGTGACACGTCAAATGACAGTGCCTAAAGTTGACACTGAGCAATTATACTGGAAAAGTGTTTAATTCTCCTCATTCAGTAGTTTTCGATTCAATAAGAGCAAAAATTGATTGATTTATTGTCATGTGTACTGAAGTACAGTGAAATGCTTTGTTTACGAGCAGTACAGGCAGATCATAATAAGCAACAATGTGCAGATCAAAAAGACTTTAGGCAGAGGCATATAGGTTACATTGCACAGGGCATGCACGAAGCAAAATCAATAGCAAGATCAGCATTATTTGAGGCTGGACAGTCCATTCATCAGTCTAATAACAGCTGGAAAGAAGCTGTTCCTGAACCTGCTAGTGCATCTGTTCAAGCTTCTGCATCTTCTGCCTGATGGAAGAGGTTGTAGGAGATCATTACCGGGGTGCAATGGGTCTTTGATGATGCTGGTGGCCTTCCTGCGGCAGCGAGCCGTGTAAATGGAGTTCATGGATGGAAGGTTGTCTTCATGATGGTCTGGGCTGTCCATGCCACTTTCTGTAGTTTCTTATGGTCCTGGGCAGGAGAGCTGCCATATTATGCACCCAGACATCTATAGAAGTTGGTGAGCGTCCTTATGGAGACGCAAAATTTCCTGAGCTGCCTGAGGAAGAACAGACATTGTTGTACCTTCTTGACTTCGTGGGAAGTCCAGGACAGTTGTTGGTTATTGTCACTCCGAGGAACTTGATGATCTCCACCCTCTCAACCTCAGTTCCATTGATGTAGATGGGGGTGTGTTCTCCTCCTTTCTTTCTGAAGTCTGTGATCAGTTCTTTAGTCTTGCTTACATTGAGAGAGAGGTTGTTTTCATTGCACCACATCACCAAGTCCTCTATCTCCCTTCTGTATTTTGACTCGTCGTTGTTAGATATCCATCCCACTATGATGGTGTTGTCAGCGAACTTGTAGTTGGCCCTCATTCAGAAGGTAACAGCACAGTTGTGGATGTACAGGGAGTACAGTAGGGGGCTGAGGACGCATCCTTGGGAGGCTCCAGTGTTGAGTGTTATTGTGGAGGAGGTGCAGTTACCTATCCTCACTGATTGCAGTATGTGGGTCAGAAAGCTGAGGATCCAATTGCAGAAGGCAGAGCTGAGACCAAGGTCATGCAGTTTTGAGATCAGTCTGGAAGGGATAATGGTGTTGAAGGTGGAGCTGTAATCAATGAGCAGGAGTCTGGCATAGGTTCTTTGTTGTCCAGATGTTATAGGGATGAGTTCAGGGCTAGGGATATGGCATGCACTGTGGACCTATTACATCAACAGGCAAATTGTAGGGCATCGAGGCAGGCTGGGAGACTGCAGTTGATGTGGAGTTGATTCACTGGTCAGTTATAAAAAAAAACCTTTTCCTTTTCCCCAGTGCAGTGAGTTTGTGAATGTGTTATTAATAGATTATTTACCATATTTCTTGCAAAGACCATCACATTAAGAACTACAGACTTAACTTAGCTGTTAAATAATTATGACCGATTAACAGGTGACATATAAAAACCTGGGAGTGAAGCTGCCATTAGCATTAAAACCGAGGAAATTATAATTGATTCATTAGTTATATTCCATCACATTCTCAAAGATACATTTCATTGAAAAGCAAATTAAAATTTGTGCAGAAGCCGGAATTTTCAAAGTGGTTTACTTTTTCATCCAGCAAGCTATATTAAACAGAGCATCATGTTTGAACACTGGCCTATTGGCTAAATTGAATGCTGGCTGATTTTGCCATGTAATTAAACATTCAAAACAGTTCAACCTATACTTGAGATAATAAGAACAAACAGGAATGTTGGAAATATAAAAATGAAAACCAGGGAATATTGGAAATGCAAAACTTACTAGTTAACATCTGAAAGATCAAGAGGTTTTGCATGAAATGAAAATAATATTTTTGATTTAAGCCGCTGAGATAGTTGAATAATTAAAGGTCTTACAATTTCTAACTATTGCTAAGATATATTTTGAAAAACATGGGCTGATATTTGAAATTCTACAGTATTTGTTCACTACTGAAACTGGGCTAGTGAAACAAGCCATTAGTTATTTCTCAGTTGATTGATACCTTTAGAAAATGGAAAATATAATTAAGCGTCATAGAGATATTAATAGATCGGTTCAACTTACTTAAAGATTAAAAAGAAAACATAGAAATCTTGAAATGGATTGGAATTGAGCAATTGATATAGTCTTGATAGGTTGTGGAAGCAACTGGATAGATGAAACAAATATCTCCGCCTTTTCCAAGCTTTCTTCTTACTGAATAGCTATGATCTTTCAAATGTTAACTAGTGAATTATGCATTTTCAATATTCCCTGGTTTTCATTTTTGAATCTCAAATATACCTGTTCCATTTCATGCATACCAATGCAAAATATTTGATATTTAGGAACATTCAACAAAGTTGATCAAGCATCTTTGATTTCAGTTTTGCTCATGTTTTTGCCTTTGGGGAGGTGATGGCCTCATGGTATTATTACTGTTAATCCAGAGACTCAGATAATGTTCTGGGGATCCAGGTTCGAATCCCACCACGGCAGATGGTGGAATTTGAATTCAACAACTATCTGGAATTAAGAATCTAATGATGACTGTGAATCCATTGCCGATTGTCAGAAAAACCCATCTGGCTCACTAATGTCCTTTAGGGAAGGAAACTGCCATCCTTATCCAGTCTGGCCTACATGTAACTTCAGTCCCACAGCAAAGTGGTTGACTCATTAATTGCTCTCTTGGCAATTAGGAACAGGCAATAAATGCTGCCTAGCCAGCTATGCCCTCATCCCGTGAATAAATAAAGAATTTAATGATGACTAATATTGAAAACTTTGCTATCCTTGATAAAGGCTGCATCACACACATCCAGAAATTCTGGCACGGTACTAGGTATAATTTCAAAACCTGCAGATGACACAAAATTGGAAGTCCTGTGAACTCTGAGCTGGAGAGTAACAGATTTCTTTTTATTCATTCGTATTATGGACATCTCACTGGCTAGGCTTGTATTTAATACCTACCCCTAAATGTCCTGGAGAAGCTGACAGCGAGTTACTGTCTTGAACCACTGCATTTTTTTGGGATACAGTGTCAATTAACCATGTCAAATGCATACAACTTCCATTAATTAATGTGCAAGTTGGCCTGTGTCCTAGCTTCATGAGGTTGACACTTCTTGTTTAGCTATGCCTGGTGCTGGTCCTGGCATGACATTCTACATTCTTCACTGATCCAGGGTTGACCTCCTAGCTTGATGGTAATAGTACAATGGGCAACATGTCAGGCCATGAGGGTACTGGCTGTGGTTTAATACTACTCTACTGCTGCTGATGGCCTGCAGCACCTCATGGATACCCAGCTTTGCTAGATTTCTTTGAAATCTGTCTGATTTTAGCATTTTGCTAGTGCCTCACAACACAATACAGGATAGCCTCAATTTGAAGACATGACTACATATCCACAAGGATTGCATGGTGTTCACCCCTACAGATATTGTCATGAATGATTTCATTTGCACCAGGCATATTTATGAATGTTGTATTATTGCTTACGATTAGTATGCAGTATGCCTTTAAGAGACATGTTCATGACATCATTAATTTATCACAGCATGTGACCTGTGAGCATAAAAGACTTAAAGTCCCTCTTAACTGGGACTGATATTTAAAAAAATAGACGTGAGGGGCAAATGTTTTACAGAGAAGGTGGGTCGCATGTGGAATGAACTTCCTGAGGAAGTGGTGGATGACAGCACAGTTATCATGTATAAAAGACACTTCATTAAGTACATGAATAGGAACTATTTGGAGATATATGGACCAGGAGCAGGCAGTAGGGACTAGTTTGGGTTGGGATTATGTTAGGCATGAACTGGTTAGGCCGAAGGGCCTGTTTCTGTGCTGTATGACTCTATGGTATGCTAATTGCAACTGAACAGCTTAATATTAGCCCAGACATTGAAGACTGTACTGTTTGTATATATCAGGAGCTGTAATAAATGTCTGTTAAATCTTTTAGTATCATGTTACCCATTACTTAGTTCTTACTTTAGGGAAATAACATAAGCATTGTCACATCAGTTACAAATACACTGCTTGAGGCAAAGCACAGTAGCAGTTCATGGCATAAAGTGATGGCTTCTCATAAAAGAGTATAATTCATGGTATGGTCACTCGGAGAGTTTTAGGATTTGGAATTTGCTGCCTGGGAAAGTGGTGGAGGCAGATTCTAGAGAAGATTTCAAGAGAGAGCTGCATATATATTTGAAAGTGTTTAATTTAGAGGGTTACGGAGACAAGTCTGGAGAATGGGACTAGCTGGATAGCTTTTTTGAGAGTTGGTACAGACATGATGGGTTGAATGGCCTCCTTCTGTACTGTAAAATTCTATGATTCTATGTTTATATAAAAATACAGCTTTAATGAGAGGCTCCCCTCTGTGCCTATGATATATGTTGTCCCTTTAATTTTAATATCTGGACCCCAACACTTTAGTCATCTCCTCCGAGCTCAGAATGTCAGACGATCAAATTTGAACAGAGAAAACAGCTCTGATGACAAAGTGACTCATGCTTTTGCAAACTAAAAGACAGTGCTCTCAATAAGCCACTTTTAAGTCATCAGCATTCAATAGGTAGATTATTGAAGATATAGGGGTCTCCTATCAGTTTCAGTTAATTAGGGAGATGGTATTAAATCCCAGGTTGAATATGAATATGGATATGGTTTCCATTGATAAAGGGTGACTTGCTTGCTTGTTTCCCCTTCCACTGCCTTCCTAACTGGGAGGTGCTTTCCTGCCACTGAGACTCTTGACATTTCTCCTCCTGCAGTTAAAATCCACTGCACCTCCACCACCCACTGAACTTGCCTACCCCAAGAGGGCTCCTCAATATCCAGCTCCCAATGTTTCTGAAATAACTGCACAGAAGCCAGTATCCCATGTGACGATGATGTCACTTTATAAAGGTTATTTTGTCTTGGGTTTTTTTGAAGAGAGGTTGTAAAAGCAGAGGTGACCAAGAGTCTAGGGAGTAACAGTTTAACAATGGGAGGGGAGTGGCCAGTTCTCCCAGTTCAGGTTTTGAGTACCAGAAATGTTGCAAGTTTCAGTGAAGGGTTCCTCTGACTTTCTCTGAAATCTCTCCAGCCTGTAAGAATCTCAGTTTGAATTTACCTTTTGGCCAAAGGGTATGTTTATGGGATGTTACCATAGTGAAACAGTTAATTAGTTAAGTTGCTGTATCGGGTCAGTTAGGTTTTCCAATAGTTAAGTTACTCTAAATTCCACTTTCTTTTGTTTGTGTTTAAATAAATTTTGTTTTGTTTAAAACCAAGTCGTTTGACCAGTTGTGTGACACCTGGAACACCCACTTCACATCTGCCTTTAAAATAAGAAAAAGTTAGTGTCTAGGTTACCTTCTTAAAATATTTTGAGGGGGGTCTGGCCTAGTCCATAATCACCAAGTCACCTTTTACTTAACATGTGCTCAGTATAGTGGCTGTGGCCAGCCAGTTCAGAGTCAATCCTTGAGCTGAGGAGAATCTGAATCCTCCTGTTTATATTGGTCAGCCAAGGCTTCCTGATTGGCCGAGGTTAACAATCCCAAACAAAGATCTCATAGTCAACGAGATCCCCCCGGTTCTAATTGCTACAGTGTCCAAACTACTGATCTAGATTTCTGGATTACCATTACACTATTGTATTCCTCAAAGAAGGGTCTCGACCCAAAACGTCAGCTTTCCTGCTCCTCTGATGCTGCTTGGCCTGCTGAGTTCATCCAGCTCTACACCTTGTTATCTCAGATTCTCCAGCATCGGCAGTTCCTACTATCTCTGTAACATATATCATCATTCTGTGTTATGGATCCTGTTTTCCATTTTAGCTTAGAATTTCCTGAAAGTCTGTCCTGATTTGAAATTGAAAAGAGTCGAAATAGTCACTATTTTTGTGCACTTATTTAGAATTGCTTCAAATTCCCTCAATGAGCAGTGAACATGCAGCATCATATTTCATCTTGATATACATTCTGACAGAGTGTGAGAATTAAGTCATGGGAGTGAATATAAAAATTGAATGCAATCCTTTCTGAGGCAATTAAATAGTCTGAAGTAACAATCTGACTATCCTGGTTGGATATTTTGAAGCTTGAATTGCTCCTTTAACAGTGCTGTCTTGGTAATTCATCTCGTTACAAGATCAGTAAGCTTTCTGATGAACCTGATGCATTGTGAATGTATGTGTGCCATGTTTTCTTGGCAAACACTCTGCTACATATTTATCATATTGCAAATATGACTCATAGTAAATTAATCAGACATAGTATTAGTACTAAAACAAAATACTGGGGGTGCTGGAAATCTGATTTACAAATAGACTGTGCTGGAAGTATTTTTCACGTCTGACAGTATTTCTGGAGAGAGAAACAGAGTCCATGTTTCAGGTCAGTGACCTTTCGTCAGAACTGCTGAACTGAAGTGTAGCTGTTTTCCCTCAGCAGATGCTGCCAAACCTGCTGACTATTTCCAGCAGTTTCCTATTCTGTATTGACCTTTTGAGTTATGAAAGGGAGGCCCAATAGTAAAACAGTAACCCTGGCACATCATTGTGATGCCATGAGATATTTCCACATGCACCCGACTGCATTTGGACCTACAGGCCAACTGGAAAACTCCAGGCAGTCTCTGATCATTGTCCTGATAATTAGCTCAAGAAGTTGTTATTCTGCCCTGGATCTGGCCTTCATGAAACTGGTTTGAGGGCAGGATGGTGCTGGCAAATTCACATGCTGGCCCACAGTGTCAACATACGAGCCCATCTGCCTCATGTTCTACCCTAACTGGTGGGTCAAAGTTTGCTACAGAATGCTAATATCTCACCTTACTGTCAATTTGAGATATCTTCTTCTAAGATTTCAAAATTGATGTGTTTAGGTCCATGACTTGTTTTATAAAGTCATTTCACTAATTTCATCAAAGCATTGTCTGACCATAAGATGTCATGTTTCACAATAGAATCGCACAAAAACAGTGCTGCATCTCATATATGGAGGAGCACAGCTGCTTAATTGGTATGAACTTTGCAAAAGAACATGGAGACTGCTACGCAAATCCACATGATGCTTGTGGAGCAGACATATATAAGGCAAGTATTTCACAGCACATTATGTTCCTCACAAAGTAATCAAACCATTAATTTTCCTTATAAAAGGTGGGTTGTGATATGATGGTACTTAAAAGTCCCAATTCCATTAAATGAGTTGTTTGTTCTAAAGGAGGAAACAAAAAAGATGCATCTATAAAGTGCTTTTCAGGACATACTGAAGTACTTTACAGCTTGTAAAATATTCGAGGTTTATTCACTGTTGCAAACTGCTACATGAGGCAGACCATTTTAGAAATTTTTAATTTGCTGAGTGCTTTCAAATGAACAATTTCAGCAGAAATGCGTGTATTTAAAGTCCAAATAAACACCTAGAGGGCAGTTGTACTAGAGTGCAGTTGCAGTTTGGTATTTACAGATTCAGTTGTTAAAGGTACACCCAAATACATTAGTTGCTACATGGGATGCTGTATCCAGCAAAAAGTGATTTTGCAGAACTATAAGTAATTTTTGGTTAGTTTGGCTGACTTATAATATTAACAATTCAAATGCAAGTTAATAGAGGACACAGCCTTGAGATTAGAGCTGAACTGTTCAGGGTGAAGTCAGAAAACACCATTGTACACAAACAGTAATGAAAATCGCTATTTCTTTCATCCAGAAAGCTGTTGAGGCTAGGACTCAACTGTAAATCTCAAAACTGAGATTGCTAGATTTTTATTATGCAAGGGTATGGGACTATAGAAGCGTGACAGGCAGATACAGTTAATTTCAGCCCTGATCTGTTTATGTGGGGAAACAGAATCAATGAGCTGAATGGTCTCCTCATCTTACGTTTGAAAAAAGCCTACTGGCTGTAAACTTTTTAAACTGATCTGTTTACAAGATTGTAAATATGAACAAATTTGCAATAACTTATTACATTTTTTACAGTTCCATCCATCACAAATATTTTGATCAGTTTGAATAGGACAAAGCTGCACTGGATGCAGATGCCATTTTTTTCCAGTCCTGAGATTTCACTGTGAATCCATCTAGGCTGATGAAACAAAACTCACTTGTTTCTGCCATCGGTCTCCCGATCAGCAAGTTACGCTGATTATTATTCAGCACAGATTAATATTAGACTGGGCAGCTCACTCAGAAAGCCAGAAATTTGAACGTAGAGGGATGTGAGGCTGGGACTGAGAGACATTTGGCTTACAGTCTAATCACTGATCTGTTTTCTGAGTTATCCCGGAATTTTAACATTGATGAGTACCCAGGATCATCTTGAATCACCTTGAAAATTAAGACATGCTTGATACTTTAGTATAAAGTTTTATTGTTTAAAATTTGCTTTTGTTAGATTATGGTTTTGATTTGGATAAAGCAGAGCTTCTAAAAGCCAACGTCATGGTCATGAATCACCTATAATATAGCATAATGTTTTTAAAATGATATAATATTTGTCTAAATGCACTTGGCTACTTACTGAAACATTTAAAGCATTTTTATTTAACACCTTCCTTCTTCTGAAGGAGGTTAAGATGCCAGAGGCTTTCTTGCTAAATTCCTAAATTCTCATCTCAAATTGATGCAATTTAAGGATGGAAAGGTCACCTGTGTCATTGAGGGGAGGTGATGGCCTTGTGGTATTATCACTGGACTGTTGATCCAGATAATATTCTGGGGACGCAGGTTCAAATCCTGCCACAGCAGATGGTGGAATTTGAATTCAATAAATATCTGGAATTAAGAGTCTAATGATGACTGTGAATCCATTGTTGATTGTTGGGGAAAAGCCCATATGGTTCACTAATGTCCTTTAGGGAAGGAAAATGCCATCCTTACCTGGTCTGGCCTATATTGACTCCAGACCCACAGCAATGACTCTTAAACTGCCCTCTAGACAGTTAGAGATGGGCAATAAATGCTGCCTCAACAATAAATGCTGCAAAGACAGTGATGATCTCATCCTGTGAATGAATAAAGGATTGAATTTGAATGATGAAATTGTGCTCTGGGCACCTATGCTTTGAATGGTTAGTCTCTTGTGTGTGTATCTTCCCATCCCACTTCCCTAATTCTCTGAGATGAAATCAATTCTTTACACACAATGCATTCATAACGTATATTTTTAAAACAACCACTTGATATTATAATGCCTGCAAGATTTTTTTGTCATAGCTGCAGAACTAAATGTTTCAACAAAATGAGTTATCCAGGGAATACTCCTTATTAAAGAAGTCATCAGAGTGTTAATGAGGGTGAAAATGCACCATATTTGGGCTTGGCCTATGCAAGGAGGACTAGACTAAATAGACTAGGACATGTTCTAAAGAAGTGTCCCTGGACCCGAAACATTAACTCTGACTTCTCTAGACAGATGTTGCCAGACCTGCTGAGATTTTCCAGAAATTTCTGTTTTTGATTTTGTTTGAGATTAGAATAAAGCTTCCTCAAGTAGAGGTCATTGGTTGTGAACTGAAATTTTGGGGTCACAAGCTCCAAGGTGGTAATGGCTGCTGTGAAGCTCTGATCAAGGGAACAACTGAGAGACAACTTTTAATCCTCGCAGGTTTTGCAAACTGTCGCTGTGACCTAAAATATCTCCCTCTGCCTGCTGTTGCCTGGTCAGTTGTACATGCTATGTTATAAGAAGGAAATTTCCTCTTAACTCTCTCTGTTCTCCCATTCTTACAGATCCTCCTCCAACTCTTACACTTCTCACTGGTGTTGTGTGGGGTGAGGTGTCCCAGTGGGATAAACATTTGGGAACCCCTGGCCTATGGGCAGAGGATGGAATCACATAGATGGTAGATGCAGGTACATTTAAAAGATATTTGGACAGGTACATGAATAAGAAAGGTTTAGAGGGATGTTGGCCAAATGCAGGTAAGTAGAACTAGTTTAGTTTGGGAAAGTTAGTTGGCATTGTACCGAAGGGTTTGTTTCTATGCTGTATGACTCTATGAATCTAAACAGCTGGAGTTTTGCATACACCATGCTTAATTTGTCTATTTCACATCAAAACTTTTAAGTGGGATCCTACAATAGGAATGGTACCTCATTTGTTGCCTCCTGCCTGTTTTAGGTGAATGCCCACTTATGTAGAAATGTACAATAATAGATTTCTCTATCAAATATCAGTATGGTAGCGGAGTGATTTATTTTTATCTGTTTTTTTTTCTCCAATTCTCCTTACAGAAATGCTGTGACTGCTGTACATTAGGAATTATGTTTCGGAACCAGTACGGAATATGTGAAGAAAAGCCAAGTCTCGGTTATCCTTGTAGTCAGGCATTTTTAAGTTGTTGTGAGGGAGCTGAAGATATTACTCACCTGCCAGTAAGAAGATGGCTCAAACCAAAGCCTCTACCGGACTCAGCTCTTGTTCCTGACCAAGGTGCGATTTAGTTTTGCATTTGGGTTTCTCCTGAAGGGAGCTAAATAAGTAAAATATCACCTTCAAATATTAAATGCCATCCATGACAAAAAGGATAAGTCATGGACTACAAAGGACGTGGGGGAAGCGTCAGGCTGTCAGCTGCTTCTTTCTCACTTGAACAAGTAGGTAGCAGTTGCTTGGAAATCCAGCGATGAAATTGTGTGCCCATTTGCCAGGCTGAATTACCCTTTCAGTCAGGTTTTTAAAAGGGATCCAGGATACACACCAAAATAAGGTATGCAAATCAGGGTGCCAGTTGGGTGGCACTTGATATGGAAGTCCCACCTCTGTTTCTGACAGTTCCAAAATTTTTACTGATTAGAGAAAGAGGGTAAGAGGGAGTCACCAAGAAACCATGAATTTAGCAGATACATTTGAACTCAATACCAAATACTAACACACTCCTTTTGGCAAGAGCTTTAAAGTCCAGCACGGGATTCACAAATTTGTGGAGTAGAAATAAACACTCTTGAAGAGTGGGTAACCTCTATCTAACAGCCATGAATTGAAGTTTTTTTTAAATGCCCTATTCTTGAAATTCTAATAAAACGGGTTGTAACTATAAGTACGAGTTTTTAAAAAAAAGCCTCTGTGAATGGCTTTGATCAGTAAGGTTACGTTAGTAAAGAATATAGCATGTGTCCATGCAGTTTCAATAGAACTGCCTGTTGCCATTTTCTCAGGAATATCATTACGGCCTTATAAATGCTTGCCTGAGTTTCAAATATAACAATAATCTCAGCAGATGTTCTGAGATCATAATTTGTCTGACAGTTTAAACAAAGATCCGTTGAAAGATTGGTTTTCTTTTCATGTGATCTGAATAGATATTTGTTTATTTTATAAGAAATTAACCATTTGAACAGATTTAAAATCTTTGATTGGGCTTTATAAATCAGTGTTTTTTTTCATAATAAGTGTGTAGGAAAGGGATGTGTATAAGGTGAAGCAAAATGATGGAATGGCTAATTGACCGTGCTATTAAGCTGCACTTGCCAAGAAATAACCATTCACTGATGCGCAGTTTGTATTCCACCAAGACCTCTTGGCTCCTGACTTCATTATATCCTTTTTGTCCAAACAAGAACAAAAGAGCTAAACTCTAGAAGTGAGGTGAGAGTGACTGCCCTTGATATCAAGGCAACGTTTGACTCTCTACTTGTCTCCCTAATGTTAGTTTACCACATTCAAGGCATAGGTCAGGAGTTTTATGGATTATTCTTCACTTGCCTATAGTGTGCAACTTTGACAATACTCAAAAATCTTGACACCATCCAGGATAAGACAGCCCACTTGATTAGCAATCCATTTTCCTCTTCAGCGTTCACTCTCTTTACTGCAGTGACATAGCAGCAGCAGTGTGTATCATCTGCAAGATACATTACAGTAACATACCAAGTCTTCAGGAACATCTTCCAAACCTATGATTTCTACCACTTAGAATGAAGAGAATAACAAATACATGGGAACATCATTAGGTACAAGTTCCCTTCCAAGTGACACAGCAGCCTGATTTGGAAATATATCACTGTTCCATCAGTGTTGCTGGATCAAAACCCTGAAGCTCCTTTCCTAACAGCACTGTGCATGTCCCAATACCCAAAAGACTGTGATAGTCAGGGTGGAACCCACCATTATCTTATCAAGGCCAACAGGGGACAAAATGGGCAATAAATTCCATCTCAGCCAGTGACACCCATATCCCGTGAATGAAAGAATGATTTTTCAATATCCAAAATCTGACTCCAAGATTCTGTTCATATCATTCAAGGTGAAAATGGTGAATAATGCAGAGTGCATACATACCTAGGTGTTTGGCACCTGCAGCCTTTGGAAAATGTTCAACAGGCTGACAACTTCAAAGTGATGTGTGAATTTCGATAGTTTCATTCTTTGGGAGTGCTGCTGATGTAAGAGTCTACTCAGATCCCAAGACGAAAAGTCCTCAGACACCATCATAAACTTTGACCTATCAGCCCTATAGTCTATTCAGGCTTCGTAATTTATAGACTGTTGTTGAAAACCACCACTTGAGCCTTTTATTGTCATCTTTTAAGCCAATATTTAAATTAAACCTGTTCAAAATTGATAATGTTAGCATTGAACCGTGGTGGAAGAGAGATTGGAGTTGTTTTCCTTAGAGATTGAGAGGGGACATGATTGAGATGTATAAAACCATGAGGAGCTTGACAGGAAGAAACTTTGCCTCTTGGTGGAGGATGAATAACCATGGGGCATAGACTTAAGATGAGGGGCAGGACATTTAGAGGAGATGTAAAGAAAAGTTCTTTCATTCAGAAGGTGGTGGAAATCTAGAACTCACTACTTGTAAGGGTTGTCGAGGCACAAACCCTCATAACATTTAAGAAGTATTTAGATTTGCAATTTAGAATTCCAATTCCATTGCCAGCCAATTTGGTTCCAAACAAGCCTTGTTCCAGATAGGTAATGGAGACAGTCTGAGATCCAATCAGCCTCCAGTTTCCAGACGTGATGGGAGTCAGTTCAGCTGACTACTCAGCGATAGGCTGGGGTAGCAGAGCTCCAGGCAGACTTACAAGCTACTTTGACCCTGCTGGGGCACAGGTGGAGTCAGATCTCACCCTGTAGTGCGATCACACCACCCTCAGAAGTTGTGGCCTTGCAATTTTCAAACATCTTGAGATTAAATTTTTGAATAAGTTGTTGAGGTGTCTCCAGGATCTTTTCAGTTACTTACTAATCATGGCAGAGGGCTGCTTCTCGGAAGCTGAAGGCCTCTGATTGACCCCCAGCTTTGAGAGCCAGTCTGCTGCCCTGAATTAGACAGGAAACTTCCTCCTAAGTAAGGGGAAGGCACAATCTCCCCTTACTGAGCCATGGTGACCCTCAGGTTAAACCAACACCAGTTGTGTCTCTTGAATAATCGAGCAATCCTATTGTCCTCTGGGCCTGTGGCAACTTTACCTTTACCTTCATAGAGCTGCCAAACCTCTGATATTTCCTGGAGCCTGCAGCCAAGCACCCAAAATGAAGAATTGTCACGTTGTTTTTTGCTGTGTGGGGCCAAGAGTAAGTGCATTCCCAAAAGCCTTCCCACGTACTGCTAGGCATTCAGTGGCAAAAAACACCCTCAAGATTCCCTTTTGCCTTTTGAAGGTATAACTACTGTATTTTTCCAGTTACTGTATTTACCATGTGTCCTCCCCACTCCCACACCAGCCTCCTCTTCCCCTGATCCGCCAGCCCAGCAAATCCCAGCCAGTTAGTATTCCTTGAACACTGCTACTTTACAAATGTTATTCATGAGGCTCTGCGATGAAAATGGTTATTGTTTCTCATTACAGCTAAGTGTTCAAGACTGTCTAATTGATCTGCCCTCCTCCTCAATATGAAAGTGAATTCTGTTATGCTTTTTGTTTATGCACTTCATGATTATCCTAGCTTATTTAAGTTAGTTTTGATAATTTGAGACAATATAATTGCATTACTATGTGAAAGCTCACCATTATGAAAGGCTCACTCCTACATACACTGGGGTAAAGAACAGTATGTGCGGTGATATTCAGATTGATTGGCTAATGTTTATACCCTGAAGTGGTGGAAAAGAGCCATAAAGGCTTTCATTGTTATGCAGTAATTTACCCTCAGAGGTCTGTGAGTCTGTGGAATATAGTACAACAGTTCATTTGTTATAGTTGGCACAGTGTAGCACAGTTTAACTGTCATGTTTCAATGTGCATAGGTTTGTACTTCTATAATGCACTGTATGAAAGCAATAGTGAGAAATGGATGTATTTCAGAAATAGCTTACTAAAAAAATTTAAAAATGAGTTAACGAATGGTGTTATAATCAAATGAATGATTGTTTTGCAAATTTAAAAGTAGCTGGATATTTCTATTTTAATAAGGATTAAGCTATCAAATTCTAAATAGTTACATGTCTGCCTTTGCATATTGAGTCTTTTTTAGAAAGTGGATTGTTTACAAACTGCTTTTCTCTATTTATAAAATGTGTGATGCAAGATCCTCGATTTTGTTTTGTGAGGTAGCATAAACTCTGCATTGTATTGCCAGTCCAACTCAAAATTAAATGCATCAAAAATCTGAGTGATAGTAACCAAAGGCAATGGATGATTTGAGAGAATCAATACATGCAATTTGGACCTAGCCTCTTGGGCTCTGCTGCAAATTCCTGCAGAGTTACCATTCACACATCAGTGCATTATTTTGCAGATCCTCTGTACATTGCTGCAATAATGTAAATTTTGCCATTCAGCAGAGCTGCTAGTTCATATTGCAGGCTTTTCTACACAAAAGACATTAGAATGGATCTCATGGTCAGGGACACACATTGTTGACATTGAACAAAACTGTGCAGGAACCTCCCTAACCCTAACCTCACAACATCTCCCCAGCGAGAATTTTGGCTAATTCAATAGAGAATTTGCTCCTGGTGTTAACTGCAGTGAGGTATAGCAGTGAGAGCTGTTCAGTGCAGACTGTTGTGGGAGTAACTTGCACTCACTGTGTCACAAAAATCCTAAAGCAGGCTGTGTAGTGGAATGGGATAAGCAAATAATGATAGTGTAACTGATTATGTTATTTACGTCAGCAAAGCTGAGAAAAGATGAGAGGATGTAAAAGAGAAAGACTTACATACAGCATCAGAGACCTGTACTAAGTAACATGTAAATATATAAATGTGAATTCAGAGTGTTATTCTTCTGAAGAAAAGGAGAGACCCTTACCTTGGGATAAGGATAAGATACCAGAGACCAATTTAAAAAAGTGATCTAGTACTATAGGAGCAGAACTATATCAAGGTTGCAAGCAAAGGAATAGAGAAATACGGTCAGTACTTTTTCGTACACCATTTGCAGACAATGCTGTCATGAGGTATGGTGTGGAACAAAATAATACTAACTTCAAGCTGTTAATCAATGCACTTGATGCATACCATAACACAAAGGAAGATC